AATTCAGGCATCATATCCATTAACTTGTATTTTCTTGCATTTTATCAAGAAAATTCTTTCAGTATATATTGAAGGAATTACATATAGTATTATAGTAGGATTTAAAAAAAAAAATACGATGACGTGATATTTTTACTAACAAAATGACCGATGAAGTTACTAATAAAATAATTCCATCAATAATATCATCAATAACATTTAATTTAGAACCTGACTATCAACAGAATGACCGATGAAGTTATTAACAAAATAATTCCATCAATAATATTATATATAATATTTGATTTATGACTTGATAATCAATACTCATCTCCTCCCATCTCATTTCTCATTTTTCCTTTTATATTTTTTTATGCAACAAATATCTATACTAATTTTAATACAATTCAACTTTCAATAATAAATTTGGCCACCACATAACTTAATTTGTCAACATCTGTACTTTGATTCTAATTTTATTGAGGTTTGTCTACTTTAAAAAATAAATCTATTTTTTTTTTCATTTGAACTTTTTCTTTTGTAATTTTTTTTGTAGTATATATATTTTGTTGGAGTATTTACTTGTTTTATAGTTTTTTCTTATATAAATTTGTTATATGAATTTATGATTTGTACATGTTAAGATTTGTTTTAAATTTTATAAAATTATATTTGTTTGTAAATTAATAAAACTTGTGTCGAATTTTTAACTTAAGTGTTTTGTAATAAAATAAATAATGACTTATTTTATAAGTTCATTTTATATTTTATTAATTTTATTGTTGAGATGAAATTTTTGGTAAATATATAAAAACTTGAATTTATATAAATAATTGATAATAAATTAAAACTAAAATTGAATAGGATTTAGTTAAATTAATATTTTTTAAATTTATTTAGTTAATATAATTAATTAATATATTTTTTTATTATTATTTTATATAGATTTAATATAAGTAATAGATGTATTTACATCCATATAAGAACACAAAACGATGAAAAAAGAAAACGGAAACTCAGATCTGTTGTTATTGTTGTTACATGTATCTTCTTTCTGGGGAGAGATTTTGGATGATCAAACCCAGGATGCTTTCTTCATGTTGCAAATCATTTAGCGTGAGTGCTTCAAAATTGGCATAACTTTCCCTCAACCAGCAAGTCGAGCAATTCTTTAGCTTTGCCTACCTTTGCAGCTCTAGTGCTCTCCACTAACAATCTGGTTTTGGTTTAAGACAAGACCATCGACAAATAGAGAATTGAAAATCTCCATTTCATGCTTTAACAAAACTAAGCCAATCTCAATTCCTCCCCTTCCATCTGCATTCTCCTGCATGGATATTGATCCTGTCTTGTCAATGGAAGGAGTCTCCACCTTCCTAGGCACACCCCAGCCAAAATCAGCTTTATAAATCTGGAATTGAGGCGACCCAGAAACCGTAACCATTAGCGTGCCAGGCCTGATAGTCATAAATTCTGCAAACTTTTCTTTGGCTCCGTCAAGAACTCCTTTATTTATCCTGACGATAATCTCACTCAGTCTTTCTATAACATTAAGATAACCATTTTCTTGAACAACAGTTTCTAGACCTATTTGTACAAAAAAGGGCATCACACAACACCCAAAATAGTTCTCAGGTATGCCTAACCGGGCTCTACAATCTGCTGTGAGTCCAAGAACAACCTTGTCATCGCGTTCTAGCCCTTTTGCCTTGACTACACAAACGAATACGTATGCATAAGCTAGCACGAAACTAGATAAATGCATTGGTCTTGTTTCCGTATCTAGGTGGAGTTTCTCAATCTGACAGAGAACCCTTTCCCTCAGATTCTTTATGTCTTCGCGAGACAACCTGACCAAGGTCCGAACTTTGCTGTAAGGATCTGTTATAGCTTGCTTAAAAGGCTTCAAGCTTCTATGAATATTGGTGTCCAAACCTGGCAGGTTGAGTCCCAACCAGCTATTCAAGTACAGCATGTCAATCCCATCTGGATCTTCGATAATTGTTCGAGCAAGAAAAGGGGTTAGTTCGGGTGGTAAAGTGATTAGATCGGCATTTTCGTTTTCGCTAAATTGTTTGTGCACATGAGCCCATGCTCTAATAAACATGACCACGTTTTTAGCATCAAGAACTCCATGGTGTACAGTGGCACCAATGGAAACGCCTTGATTAGGAAATAATGTTATTTGCAGAGCTAAAACTGATGTTTTTGAGTCAGTTATTATAGGTAATTGAGGAACGTAAGGATGTGACCTAGTTATTTCACAGATATCAGTTCCCGAAAGATGATCAAAGTCAGCATTGGACTGTGCAATTGTGAGTGAGACACCATCATTAGGAGTGTAAAGGATGATGGGTTTGGTGCTTTGTGCAGGCCAGATGAGGTTGCCTGCAACAGGGAGGAAGCGGAGGAGAGTATGAGAAAGAGAGAGTTTGAGTTTTGGGAGGATCACTGAGTTAAAATAATCCGGTGTTGCCTCGGTGAGTTTGTAGAAGAATAAGCGTTCAGCTGGAGCGACTTTCAAGAACAGGATATCAAAAAAGGAGAGCGGAAAAGATAACTCGGTGGGTGGGTCAACTGAGTTCAAGGACGGGGTGACTTGACAGACCTCAAGTATATTTACCTGTACAGGATGAGTTGATGCCATGACAAAAGCAGAGGAAGAACAGAGAAGCTGTAATGGTTAGGTTTTATAGGCTTGATTTAACGTTGAAAACAATATCATTACTTATAATTTTTGTTCCTCTTTTATTTGCTTCTGCATTAATCATAACTCATCACAAAATTTATATCTCTTTAATTATTTGCAAACGTTAAAGATAACTCAACCACTCTTCAATTAGCTTCTATAATTAATTTATTCGGTTTCATGTATCCTATTATTTTAGGTTTTCTTTTTCTTTTTCTTTTTTTTTTGTAATCTGAACAAATAATTAGTTATAATCTATATTCAACTACTAATTATCTTGCTCAATTATTTTAGATTGCCAAGGGTTTTTTTTTCCTTATTTTGCACCTTAATCCCCTTGGCTTGAATTTTATATACTTCATAAATAAATTCTGATAAATTGATCATGATGTTGGAAATGAAAGCGTTAGAAAGATTACTGGGAGAAGACAGCTAGTAGTATAAGTTTTTTATTTGACAATAAATATATTTTTGAATTAGTTTATATGATTAAGTATTAATTTATTTTTTTAATTATGTAAAAGGTACTATACAAAATTTGAAAACAATTTTCACTAATAAGTTAGATATCATTTATTTATTTTTAAATTTTTCTGCATCCTCACTATACATGGATGGCATGCGGTTTTTTTTTTTTCTTTTCTTTTCTAGTTCCAACCTAATGTCTTGCCATTTCAATGGTTTCTTTGATTTACTGGCAAATTGGACATGCCGAGGATTTTTTCTTTTTGACATAAATGATAACCATATTTAAACCTTGAAGAACACATAACAAAACAAGCTAGAAGACTTCCATGGCCTCTTGATTGCTTGGATTTTCTGGGTTTGCAGGTAATGATCCTAACTTACTTCTAGAGCCCCTCGCCTTGAAGTATGGCCTCTTGGTTGCTTGGAACAAGGGTTATAAACACATCCTTTGTAACTCAGACTCCATAATTTTTTTTCCGCTGATTAAAAATTATGACATTAATTTTCATCATTATGGATATTTGTTCTCTCCTCTCTAGGGAATGAGAAGTTGAGCTTAGTTGTACTCTTAAGAGAAGACAATTGTTTTGTGGATCTTCTTGCCAAATTAGGAGTTAAACATCGGAGGGAGCTTCATATTTAGTTAAAAATCATCAAATTTTTTTTAAAAACATCTAAGTGATAACAAGAAGGTCTTAGAAAAAAAAAAAATAGTCTAATCAGATTTTAACTTGGTTATATAATGAATTTATGCCTAATTTTCTTTAGAAAAATAATCAGCTCAAAAGAGTGTCACTAACACTTTGAAACCTGTACCCACAGCAGAGAATGGCGACGGAGCTAGTGAGTTTCTAAATAGAAAAGCCTTCTTTACAGAAAAAAAGAGGGTAGTTTTACAGGTATTCCAACTTTGATTTCTTGGAATCAAAGAAATCAAAGTTGGATACCTATCTTGCCACCATTGAGAGAAACGGACATATTTTCGACAACGATTCATGAGTATCAAACCCTAGAACTGCCCAACTAGGCCTCACAGAGCCTTAAAAAACGAAATTCTTGTGATGGACATGGCATTATACAAGCAATGCATGTGATCAAAGGAAGATGAAAGACAATAATTCTTTAATCAACTGTCACCAATCCTCCCAAAAAGAAAAAGGAAACTTGGAAACATCTGATTGCAAGAAAAAAATGCAGATTTTGAAAAAAACTGTGGTTTCAGCAGAATTTAACCAATAATATGAGCTTTGAAATTGACTATTCCAGCTAAACAAGTACTTGTGTATTTGATCCAGGGAACAGACTACTTCAAGAGAACAAGCACTGATGGAACACTACCAAACATATACGACAGAGGAGCTAAAACAACGAATCAAAGGAAACAAAACAAAGAGCTGTGCACTCCATGTCAGTTTGCGGAATTATCTGCTATATAATTTAAATCCACACAACCTTACAACTATTTATCATTTTCAATTCTTCACCTCCAGCAATTTAGCATGGCAAGAATCTATACGAAAGCAACGGATAAACTAGCACTTAGCAACCAAACAAAGACTTCACCAATAACATTCACCTCTACATTCCATTGATTTCAAGAATCATATCCTTCCTCTAGTTATATTTCAATTTCACAGCAAAAAACTCTAAGTCCTCGTATCAAAAAACTAAAAAAGAAATAGCAAAATTAACCGTGCATCAAATTAGCATGTATTTCAAAGCACTATACAAATCCACAAAGACCTACCTCAGTGTACCCTGCTAACGACACCATAAAAAAAATACCATACTCTCCTTTCTCCGAATCTCAATACAAATTACATTAAAAACACTGCTCGTCATCAAGAACCCACAATCCCTCCGCTCAGGAATAAACTTTACATCGCCTAGCACCACCAGTCAAGTTCCCAGATCCACTATTCCCGGAAAACCCAACCGCCAAATCATCACAAAAAACCCTAAGCAACCTTCTTCTTGCCCTAAACCCACCAACCCTATACATCGCATCAGCAACAATCTTCAAATTAAAACTCACCAATCCACGCCCTTTATCCCCATTAATCTGATTCACCGCCCGCCCCGCAATATAAGAACCCACCGCCCCATATTCCGCATTGATATCAGTAACATTCCTTTTGGCCTGTTTGAACGGAGGAATCCTCGTCTGGGACAAAAACTCAGATTTATAAGAAATCGAACTCTGTATATCATCGTACGAGAGTTTCAACTTGTTCGGATTATAAACCTGAAACCTGGCGTTCCAGGTACCAGTCACACTGGAGGAAGAAGAGGATACATTGAAGCCGGAGACAGAGAGGGAAGTGACGCGGAATTCGGGGAGGTGGGGTCGGATAACAAGCCAGATAATGAAGAGAATAGTGAAGAAAATGACCGTAACGATGATTAGAACAGCGATTAAGCGGCGGAGGAGGGTGGCGCGTTGGTTAGGGTAGGTTTGGTTGGTGTTGTAGTAGTAAGGGTTAGTGGGTTGTGGTGGTGGGGCTTGGTAAGGATAGGCGGTGCCGGGTGGCGGCGGTGGGTAGTGGGTGCCGTTTGGGACAAAAGGGTAGCCCGTCGCGGGTCTAGAAGGATCCGATGATGCCATCTTGTTCGGATTTTTTTAGATTTTTGTAGTCTAAAGAGAGTCTATCTGTTTCTAAGCTATGTTTGGAATCTCGCCTCTTTGATCGAGAGAGAGAGAGATATTTTTATGTATTTGCGTTTTGGGGGATGATAGTGACGGGCTGGGCTGATATTTATATCAGGAGGATTAGAGGATTGGTTTTAGGTGCTTAATAACTCATTATAATAAACAAATTATTTGCTCAACATTACTGAAAAAAATGACCTATGGCTTCCTTGTCCATCCTAACATCTCTTCAATCCGGCCTATCATCAACTGCGACTTTCAACCAAATTCCATGAAATGATAAATTCAACCTTTTAAATTGATTGTGTCATGAAAATTTAGAATATAAAATAAATAATTCGTAAATTTATAAGATTAATCATCTCCTTCAAGCTTTTTATAGTTTTTAACATTATTCATCAAGGCTGAAAATCAATTGAAATTAGCGGAGAACACAATCAATTTTGATGATAAAATAGCACTCGTATTCTTGCTAGATTTGTTTTTTCTTAAAAAAAGAACTTTCAAAATAGATTGAATATATATTTCATGCTAAAAACTAATTCAAAATTAATAATAAAAATAAAAATAAATAATATTTGTTGTTTCACCTTAAAATAAATCTTATATTTAAAAGCATTATGCTTCAACCAACCCAAAATATATAAACTATAATTATTAGGATCCTTACAATCATTTATCAAATAACACAATCTTATTTTTGCTCTCCTACTATTTTTCTCTTGTAGATGTTTTTCGGATTAGAAAGTCAAGATATTTAGCATATCATCTACTATTATGTCATCAACACTAATATCTTATTAAGATCAACTAACGTTAAAATTGTCTAAATCCTTCTTATCTCATCAACTTTCAAATAATGTTCATATATCCTTGTCAAAGTATCTTTCATCTTTCTTATTAGCTCATTTATTTTGTCAGTATATGTAATTAAAAATAGAATTTTATATATTTTAGATCTAAGATAATAGCTATATATAATTAAATATTTTTTGATAATCTTGATTTCTCTAATATTTTTAGCAGATGATATCTTAGCAAAATATATTTAAAAATGATAAAAAAAATCATCATTTAGTTTTATAGTAACTAAAAAATATAATTGGCCTTCAAAGGTTCTAAATAAAGAACTGATAATGTTAAGAGAAAATTATAATCATCATAAAATATCTTATCTAAAGTAAACTGGATGTATTTTTTTTTTAATAAATTTACCTATTGTGCATCCATGTTATGAGTTTACTAAAGTTCAAGGCAATAATTTAAGACCTGAGTTTAGTAATAAGGTTCTATCCTCATTTTATGAATATAGGCTTTGGATTCGATTAGGCTTTGACTTATTTTTTACTGTCATATTCAAAGTTATTAATTAGGCTCTGGTATCTTCTTTAATTATGTTCAAAATAGACCCCTGTAGACAACCATTCACCCTTAGTATGCTTATAAAGGATTGTGTTAATTCAGGTTAAACTCACTAGACATGTCAAAAGAACAAAATCATAAAACAAGACTTACGCACATTAACTTGCTTACCTATTAATGTGATATTTGAGAAAAATACTTTATTAAGATTTACAATTACTTGGTTGGTTTTGAGTTAAAAAAAATACAAAACAATGAAAATCGCATGAATACGAAACAAAAAAAGGAGACAATGATATTTACATGGTGATGATAAATGAAATAACTATATAAATATTTTATATAATGTACATACCTCCATAAATATGTTTATAAATATCCTAGATATTTATCTTAAAAAAATCTATATAAATAGAGCTTCATCTCTATAGATAAAAGGTTTGTCAGAGCTCATATCTAGACTTTATCTCTCTAGACAATATATGTCTAAAAAAAATATAAGTTTGATACAAGATTTAAACAAGGTTTAAGAAACATTAAAACCTAAAGAATATTTATTCTCCATATCAATTACACTATACTAACTTAAGCTTCAAAGTGTTTTTCTTGTAAATGTCATTAAGCCCACCAAGTCCCCCGAGTCTAATTTTATCAGCCCATGAAAAATGTCCCCAATCTTTCCATTGAGAATTTTTTCCAGCCTTGCCAATTGGTTTCGTCTATAGAAATTGATTGAAAAACCAATTTATTCTTGTTTCTAAAAAGCTCTTTCCATTGCTCATGAAACTACACTAGCTTCTATATCTATTGTTATACCAACAACTAAGCCATTAATTATGCCTAAGCTATACTAAAGGTTCTGCCCAAGGCTATACTAGCAGCTATACGTTGCTACACCCACAAAGACACCCATGACTATACTTATGATTACACCTACAATACTTAGATTGTTTATGTGGGCCACTCAAATCAATGTTGATGATCTTTTTTAGTGTCGTTAGATTTATTTTGTCAAGATTTTTTTAACAATACGAGTGGTATCATCACCTGAATTTCAATATATTTCCAGAGTCTTTCTCTTCTTTATTTTTCTTTCTCCTCTCTTTCTATCAAATCTCATGTTTAGTAATTTTACAATTTAAGAGAATTCACATATGATACTTGCAATTACCAAATTGTATCACCAATTACTTTTAAAATTATAATACTTTCCTAAATATTTTTAAAATTATTTGAAATAACATGTTTAAAATTATTCATCAAAGTTGAACAACAACTAACATGTTTGAAATTATACGAAATAAATGATTAAGCATGTTAGGGGTTTGAAAAAACCTTCAAGAAGCTACTAGAAGTAACCATAATACTATTGGAAACAAATTGGGCAGGGATGACACGTGGCTATCACGCGACTATGTGCCTGGTTGGATCGGAGAGTAGCAGCAACACCTGTATCTCGCGCGCGGTAGATTGAACCTGCAAAAGAAGAAATAGAACCGAATGGTGAAGAAAGGTTGTGATTTCTGTGGATCTTATGAATGACAGAAAATATCACCCTACAAATTGTATTTGATGTTGGAGAGGGATACAAGTAAAATAAAACAAAAAAAAACTTTGTACTTGAAGAAACGGGCAAGCTAAGTAATTTGTTAGTTGGAGCACATGTCCGGTGCAATTTCTCTAGCTTGATTTGGAGATGCGATTCCAGCCTGCTATTGTGCAAGGATTGATTTGATACGATTCCGGCCTACTATTGTGCAGGGTTGATTTGATGCGATTCCTGCCTACTATTGTGCAGGGTTGATTCGATGCGATTCCTGCCTTCCATTGTGTAGGGATTAATTTGGGATGCAATTCCGGCCGGCCTCCTATTATGCAGGGATTGATTTGGAGATGCGATTCCAGCCTACCGTTGTGCGGGGATTGATTTGGTGAAAACCCTTCGTATAGCCCCAAAGAAAAACATGGAGCGATTGATGATATAACTTTGAGGACGAGGAGGTCATGAGATTGTAAATAGAGAAATTGATAGATTTGGATGATATAACTTTGAGGACGAGGAGGTCACGAGATTGTACATAGAGAAATTGATAGATTTGCTGTAATTTCAGAGAATGGTGTTTAGGGGCGGAGCCAAAATGATTTAGTTAGGGGTCAAATTAAAAAGATTTTCTTGGTATAAACTGTTAGATGGTTGGGAAAAAATAATTACTTGGGAGGTCTCTGCCACTAATGGTATTTGACTTACGAGTTTGACAAAACATATGCAAAACGCATGAAGAACATTGTCAAGGAAGATAATTTAATATGAATTTGATAGATTCTCATCTCAATCAGCACGGATGGGTAGCTTTTTAGACCATCTTATTAAATAGACAATGAAGGGATGATAAATGGTATCAAACTCAACTTAAAAGTCGACTCTCTCTCTCTCTCTCTCTATATATATATATATATATATAATCTAATAAATATAGTATGGATATCTAAATGTTTTGTCTAATAAATAACAGATAGGACATGAATATAATAGAAACTTAACTTAGTGGGAAACCATTATCATTCCTCAAAATTATTTATGATTGTATTTGTTTTTTTTTATATATATATATATAATAAGGGGTGTTTGGGTTAATTTATGTGCACTATGACTAATATTTAGATCCACTGAACACTTTGTAAGTCCAATAAACATGTAAAACATCACAGGAATGACAAACATGCATATAAAAAGTCAAACCCGAGTGCTGGAGGAAGGAAATAAGTCCCTCCTATAACCGCTAGGCCACAACCTCAAGTGTATGATTAGCAAGTGTATGATTAGCAAGAGTTTTTTTTATATATATATATTTGCTTATCAAGTATTATAATCAATGTTATTAAACTTAATCTGATTCAACAGCTAAACTTGGTAACCCATCGACCTCAGACATGGTCTAAGCAGGATTTCAAATTAAACTACGGGAAAATTGATGGTGCCAAATTTGATAGATCTAGCAAGTCAACTAGTAACAGGTTCAACCCTATTAAAATTTAGTCTGACTTAAAAAAATTATATACAATATAATGTTTTATTTTTTTTAAAAAAAAACATCATTTTAAACTTACTCAAGTTAAGTCATCTAACCCATAAAGCTAGCCATATTAATAGTCCTTTTGGTTTATAGCACAATAACAAAAAAATAATAAAATAACATAATGCAAAAAATATTTAGAAAATAACATAATTTAAAGAGTCACAAATAACATTTTCGATTTACGAGACTCAAATGTCATATCTGAACTCTCTCAAATTATAAAATTGCTAGACACAAGATTCGATAAAGAGAGAGGAGAGACAAAAAAAAGAGTAAAAACTCTAGAGGTGCATTGAAATTTTGATAATGACACTCTACCAATATCATTGAAAAACTCTCAGGGAAGGTCACCAACGTTGACATGAGTGGGTCACATAAGCGATCTAGAGACAACTCATCATTGAAGTTTTAATGTGTGTCTAAGATCTATTTTTTTTCTTTCTTTATTCTCTCTCTTTGTTCTTGTAATTTGTGAAAAAATAGGAGAGAAAAAAAAAGAGATGACCCTAGAAGGACACTGAAATTCTGATGACGACATCACCAATAACGTTGAAAAATTCTAGATAAGACAAATCAAATACTACTAAATAAAGTTACAAATGGTGAATAGAGTAAATTATTTAAGTCATTCAAAAGTGTTGGGGTTTATTTATCTTTGGGTTTCTTATGTGACTTATTTTGTTGATGATTTTTTATGTCGTTAGATTTTTCTTATCAAAATCTTTTTAAATATACTAATATATAATCATTGGAGTTTTGATATGATTTTGGAATTTTTTTTTCTTTTTTTCCTCTCTCCTTTCTCTCTTTATCAAACCTTATGTCTAGTATTTTTACAATATGAGAGAGTTTACGTATGATATTTGTGGCTTGTGAATCACACTCTCTAATATATATATATATATATATATATATATATTTTACATTGTGTTATTTTATAATATATATTCTTTAGAGCGCTTGAAACCAAAAAAGACTGGGATTAATAGCTTTGTACAATGTAGCAGGCTGACAGGCTCCTGTAATACTCCTTCGAAGTCGGATAATGAACTCACCAGACCAGATCTTTTGTACTACGCAACAGTGCGACTGGCTAGTGGTTAGTTTGAAAGGCAGTCTATCCAGAATAAACAAAAGAGGAAAGAAATGCTGGGGGAGCTCATGAGATTCAGAATGCTAGGAGTCTTGGATAATTAGAGAACGCAATTAATGACTGGATGTGTTTGAGAGGGAAATAATGAAGGCATATCAGCATCTGCTGCTCATTGCTCAATTCATTGCACTAATAAATAAGATTACCAATCGGCATGCATATCCTTGGAAGAGAAAATCACATTTCCATGTTAAGTTCCCTTACCATATGCTTGAAATGAGCAACCCAGAAATTGGACTACTGAGATTCTTCTCAGAACTTGAATGGCTAAAAAGAGGAAAAATATACAAGTAATTGCAGGAAATTAATAAGCATGCAATGGCTCTTCAAAAAACTAACGAAAAGATCAATTAGCGAAAGCCCTGTACACTATCGAGAACGCGCAGAAGCTTGCTAGCTATTGATGAAATCAAACGATAGAAAAGACTAATTACAGGGCTAATCTTGATCAAATCAGCAAATACAGACAGGCCCTAAAGTGAAACAAACAAAATGAACAAAACAATGGCAACAACATAAATGTAATTCCAAAATAATCTGCTGCATTTAGTCACAATTCTTTTCCACTGCCCATTGACATCACATTCACTAGAACCAAACACCAACGTTGTCACCTTTGAAGGAAACTCTACCTTCACATTCTCATCACACGTTGCCTTCATCAAATCCTTGTTTGCAGGCCACGTCCACCTTCCATACCTTGCCATAGCATGCAACTTCACTGTCAAATTCACTCTACCACCACTAGAATAATTGTCATTAACCTGGAAAAAGAAGCTAGGAAACACAGTTAGTAATGTTTTTTGGGTTTTTCCAGGTTGGTGAAAGGGTGGAAGAGTAATGCTAGAGAGACTTTCTTTCCCATCGAGCACCAACGCAGTGATTTTGTCATAGGACATGGTTTTGCTATTTGGGTTATTCATGGAGAAGGTAACGTTAAGGTTTGCGGTTATGGTGTTAGAGGAGACATTAAAGACTGTTAGCGAGGATGAACTGACATTGAACTGAGGGATTTGAGGTTGAAGAGAGATTATGCCACGAGTTATGACAGGAACAGAAACAATTACTATGGTTGCTACTGTGATGAAGACAAGGAACACGAAGCAGTCATGTGCTTTGGCTTTTGCTGCGTCAGATTTGGTGGTGGTGGTGGGGAGATAGCTTGGTTGAGACATGGGAGGTTTTTGGTGGGGAGTGGGGGGTCGATTTTCTTGGAGTAGTGATTTTATCACGCTCTTGGGTTCCTTTTGTTTCGAGGAGAGTTCACAACGTGATGCGGTGAAATTTTCTACAAGCAGCAAAAAAAAAACAAAAAGGGTTTTTATGAGCCCACATTATCAATGGAATGGGCCAAGTATGGGCTCATATTTAGAACAAAAAACAATGACCCTGCCCCTTTCCTAGTGGTATTGTTTCTATTATCCTAATATAAATTCAGCCAGCCCATTGCTCGACGACGACAGGAAACCTCCATCTTGTTCTTCTTTTTCTTGTTCAATGGCTTCTCATACTCAGATTCTCCTTGCTTCGCTCATTATCCTCTTCATGGCTTCAGGCATAAACTAATTAAACTTGCCTTTGTTTTACTTCATATTATATTTTAGATTTTACATGGTACAGGACAACGTTTATCGCGTTACTGCTTTTGATAATTTTATTCCTATATAGGTGTCCTATGCCAGTTCCATTCTCCTGGAACTCTCGTCCCCAAGACTGCCTGTTCATGCTCATCTACTGTATTGCCTGTTCATGCTCTGTTCAGTTTATTATTATTGAAAAATAATATAACTCTCCATTCCAATCCATTAGATTGAATTTACGAACTGTTTCTTTTTTTAAAATAAATAAATTAAACCTCGGAATTAACCAAATAAAATCAAGACGATTCCTCTGGTTTGTCTTCTAGGTGGAGGAACCATCTGGGTAACAAGAAGGACCCTTCTCTACTTTGTCTTCTAGGTGGAGGAACCATCTGGGCAACACCGTCACTTATTTACAGGAAGGGAGAACAGAGCATGTTCTCCTTCCCTTGTCATCTGACTCGTCAACATTATTATTCATAAACGAATCTCGGCAACCAGGTTCCTTAAACCCCCCATTTTTTCTCCCTCAAAATTAAGAGTCGTCCTGGAAAGGGAGATAGGCCCCATGCAATCGTTTCAGACAACTTTTGACCAACTCAAAAGATTTGAGTTTTTTCATTTGAATAATTGGTTTATAATTTTGTTTTATTTTGTTTAAAAAAAAAACAGAGGTTTAAGCTAAGAGATTCTGATGAGCCATAATTTATCAGTATTTTTTTTTTAAAAAACAATTTTTTGGATGGTTCAAAGTCTGTTTTAACGACAATCCAAGTCCCCAAGGATCTTCCAAACATAAATTGAGGTTTAGACAATGATATTGAACTTGGACGTCAACCACGTCTCAGCGTTCTTGACACTTGATATTTTTAAGCTCAGGTACCATATCCAGGCTCAAACACCGAGCATGCACCCGACATCTCTCGGGTTCAAGCCACGCGTTTGGCCCGGTGCGCATCCTAGTGCCCCAATGGATCAAGATTGAATTGAAAGAAAGTATAGGAAGGCAGGCATTGTGGATAACGCATTGAACCAGGCAATCCCTTTCCTTCACTCATGACCTTCCCTGTAAACTATACATTCAAAAGCTACCGTCGATTCTTTTTTTCTTCAAACTTAAGGAATCATCCTAGAAAGGGAGATAGGCCCCATGAAGTTGTTTCACACAACTTTCCGTTGAGTATATTCGTCGACGCAGGCAAAGCTTGAGGCCGGCACCCATTCAAAAGATTTGACAGGCATCAATGTAAACAGTGAGTTATTAAGTCCCTTTGGTTTTATGATTTTAAAATTCAGCTCAATTTGATCTTTAATGTTTTTATAAAAGTTCAATTTGCCCCTTAAATTATTTTTATTTTATATTTTTGGTCCCTATAATTCTGTGCATTTAATTATGTTTTAGTAGTAAAACTTTAGTTTTCTTACATTTCAATCCTTGAGTATTAAAGAATGAGAGAGAAAATCACTAGAAAAAGAAAGAGGACATAGAAAGACTTTGACCTACTATATATATATATAAAAAAAGTGATTTTTTGTGTTAGCGAGTTCTTGAATATGGAAGTTTTGTGAAAGTGGTATTGCTTTTAACCATGTTGAAAAAGCAGATGAGGGCCCATTAAAGTTTTTTATTTTATTTGATTTTTTATTTTTAGACTAATAATAGTATTTTGAAGTTGGAAAATGTGATTAGGTTCATGGAAATATTTCTAAAGTTTTTTATATGAAAATAAGTAAAAAATCTGAAATCTTTGATCATGATTATAATATATTCTAGCAGACGACATGTCATAAATTCTTGTTAAAACTAATAAATGATTAACCAATTATTTTTCCAAAAACAAGGGAACAAAATAGTAGTTTACACTAATTTAACAATTCCATTGTTTCATATATATCTCTATTATTTTTGTCTTAGTAAAAAAAAAAAGAAGGTTAATTAATAACTTGCATGGCTGAACTACTAGATTTTAAAGATGCTACTAATTTGCTACTGCACATCTATATATGATTTCTCAATTATATACATAATGAAAAATAAAAACAAAACAGCATGTTTCGCCTACAATAAAAAATAAAATAAAAAGACAAAGGACTCCGCCCGTCCTCAAAATAAAATAATTATTTAATATGTTTTTATATGAGCTAATTTTATTTTTTGAATATAAGGTAAATAAGTTTTAAATTTATTTTTATTATTAGATTTTCGTGTCAAACCATCAAAAATAGAAGTGTAAATCACATGACTAATTTCAATGGTTTAATCTAAAAACCTTATCATAAAAATAAATTAAAATTTAACTTATATTCAAATACAAATAAGCTCAATAATAAAGTGAAAAATCACATTACTACGTAGAGAACAGGCGGCGGCGCTCCTAAGTGGATCGGAAGGAATAAGCAGGAAGACATCAGGCATGAACCAAGCAATCCTTCCCTCCGCTCATGAGCTTCCCTGTCCCCTTTGTAGAGAAGAATTCAACAGGTAAATTCATGCACTGAAACTCCATGGTTCTTTGCTTGGTTGGCAGAACACCAATTTCAAATCCTGCACTAACAAACAATTTGACATTGAAATTTACCATCTTTTTGCTCCACTCATCACTTATATCCTTAAAAACTTTATCTTTCAACGAACAAACCGCGTCCCTTCCTAACTCAACCTTCAACCTTGCCTCACTCATCTTTACAAGATACTCACTTTTTCCAAGAATCTTACTGGAAAGGCGGCCTTTTCTATAATTCACCATGACTTCGACTTGGTCGACGAACAAGTTTACTTTCTTGTTAGTGTTATTCACAGTGAATTCGATGTCGTAATTTGCAGCAAATTGAGGATTAGAGACTGTGATGTTGGAGACAGATAGGGAATTGAGTCGAATAGCAGGATCAAGAGGGTGTATGACAAGCCATGCAATGAAGATGATCAAGCATAGTATGAAGAAAAACATCACCACCATCAACGTTAACCGGGGAACAAAGGAAGAGCTCTTCCTTGACCCAACAGGCCGAGTGGCATTGGAAGGGGGGGAGTGAATTTGAAAGGACTGCTGGGCTGGCTGCCGATTGGAAGTTGTACGATTGTTGTAGCTATCAGGATGCTCCATGAGGATATTCTGGCTTGGCTTTGTGTTTGGGAAGAGTCACAGAGAAGCTGTGGTTAGAGAGAAATATTCAACTGTTGGGTAAGTTATATAGGAAAATTAAAAATACCAAGACGCGTGATTCTTTTTAAGGAAAATTCCTAGTAAATAGGAGTCTACTATTTAGCCGCCCCTGTCCGAAGAGAGTAAACTTCATGAAGTCGACTTCAGATTCTTCCACGCTGCTTCTTGCCTCCGCTGCGTCACTAAACGGAACAGAATTCCTAGTAATTCAAAAACATAATCAGGATCAGTGTCTTGCAATGTAAAGTATGGAGATTCAAAATCAAAAGCATGACAACAGGAGTGAAAGCTTCTATCCCATCCATAGAAATAAAGGAGCACCACTACGAGGCAACAATAGTGAAAGACTCGTATTATACACTTTTTCTTTCTTTTAGAAATAAAGGAGCACCGCTACGAGACAACAATAGTGAAAGACTCATACTATGTACTTTTTCTTTCTTTCCTTTTTTTACTTGTTTGTTTTGGAGTGCAACAGATATCATGAACCACACATGTGGAGAGGGATCCAGCGTGATGATAGGCTGGTATATTTTCATGTTGAGTTGATCATTTTGGTACCCACCAACATATTTTTCCAATATATCCTACGACACCACAATACTGGCAGGTTTCTTCTCGGTATAATTCTCGTTCTGCAAGTGTTATGTAATGTTCACCAGGTGAGGGGGGCGTTTCTGTATCTTTGGATTGCTGAGCATGGAGGCCTCTCCCAATAGATATAAACTTGTGTTTGTTGCCATAATTTCTTCAAGGAAACTATCGAGGACGCTGTTGTTTTTTCCCATAAAATACTAGTTATGGGGTGAATGAGTTTTGAGCTATTCATTCAAATGATTAGTAAACCAATTACGTCTTTCATCAAGACTTTGTAGTTATCAGACTTGTATTGAGAGTCAAGACTAGAGAGGAAAGAGAGAGAAAATAGAAGAAGAAAAAGAAGAAGCTTTTTCTTTGTCAATAACAGGTTTCTCAATAGCTACAAGATTGTTAAAGGTACAAATGTGTCCACCAATGGTTTTGTCGTCTTCTTTGCGGAAATACATAGCCTGTCGTCTGAGATTGAATTCATGTTCTTGTAAATTTTATACACGTTCATTTTGAGAACATTCTTTTTTTTTTTATCTACATGGATATTTAGGCTAGCTTGCGTGCACCACGACTAATCTTACGGCCCACTAAATATCCTGCAAATCCAGTAGACATGTAAGGTACCGCGGAGGTGACAGATGTGCACATAAAGACTCGAACTTAGATACAGTAGAAGGAGACAAGCCCCTTCTACTGGTGCTTTTTTTTTTTTAGCATTCTTGAAAGCATAGGTTATATCTAAATCCACATCAAGGAAGAGTGTTTCTTCTGAAAGCGTCCCAATTATCCATCCACAAAGGAGACGATCTGCCTTTCACTGGAGACGATCTGTCTTCCGCCAGATAATGTATTCTTCGGTTAGTTTTGGTGCAGAGATCTACATCTATAGTGTTATTTGAGTATGGTATGATGTACTCGATGGGGGATTGATCTTTATTAGTGAGATGCCAAACCAGCTCCAGACTTTCTGCAAGAGCCAAGGCAACTTCCCTCCATAGCGTGTAATGTCATGTGCTAATTTACATGACCTTCGTGTCCTAAAAGCGAATCCTGTCAGAGAATCTCTATAATAAGGCTCAAACACTGCGTGAATCAAAATGATTTTTACCGCTCTGATCTCCAGGATTGTATTGATGTTGTAATGAAAAACAAATGTTAAATGTCCAGCAGACTTAACCAAAGGACGACACCTCGACTTCACAACAAAGCATATCCAAATGGAAGGAAAATTAAAAAGGGAAAAAGTATGTTATTTTTTTCAATCTATTCTGAAAATGAATTGCCACCGTTGACCATAAAAAAAAAAGAAAAAAAGAAAAAAAGTCACCGTTGACCATAAAAAAGAAAAAAAAAAGAGCAGCATAGCCAAATGGAAAAGCTTCAATGCCAAAACTTATATTTAACAATTACCACAGCATATCCATGCGTTTGTCTTGGAGACAAAGGCAATCATTTGTATGATTACCACGTAAAATGACAAAGTGGATAGAAAGAATTAAAAATAAAAGACAAGACAAGACCTGGCTGTTCTCTGTAAAAATTCAACTGAACTTGAATGTGTGTAAATCATAAACGGAAGGCTAAAATCACTAGACAAATGTCAAATGCTCATTGACATAGAGCAACTTACCACGGATATCATGATTCATGAACTCCGTCCACTGTCCTCCGCCATCATTCCTTTCAGACTCTTAGCTAACCAGATAGCTGTCTCCCTTGGAGAGACTTTATCTTTCCCGAAAGGTTTTAAAACAACCGCAAGCTCTTCTAACCTGCTTTGCTGAAGCAACTCAGCAGACAACTCTAGAAGCCCTTCAAGTGCCTCTGCCCTCTGCCTGAAAGATTTAACATCCAAAGTTTCCCTTGCTGTTGCTTCCTCTTCAGTGACGGTGGAGTTGGATTTTGGTAGCTCAGATAAATCAAATTGTGGAACCAGAGGGCTGATGTTTCTCAAATCAATTTCCTTAATGCTGAAATGATCTGAAAGACTTGATTTCAAACTCACAGCTTCAGAGCAATTTGATGATTTTAGAGCCTTTGACATACTCACATTTCTCATTTCGAGTTCATCTCCTACTACATTTAATAGCTTTCCCACATCCACATTTTGAATCCCCACCTCCACGGTTTCCATAGCTGGCTGCTCAGTCCCAACACGGAAACTACTGTGCCGTATAACATGTATTACATCATCAAAAGCAGGAGACAGATGGGCAGCAGTGGGTTTTCCAACAGTTGGATTTTGCAAAATGGCAGCCTTTTCTGACTGCAAATTCTTTTGGCTCGTTGACATTGGTAAGGCAATGGAAGGAGTGGTTTCTGAAACTGGTGATAGAAGTTCTCTTACTGTGAACTTGTCGTCACCACCAGATGCAGGTATAAGATTTGATTGGGGCACCAAATCAGGGCCAGTACTTGGCCTGCTTAATTGGGTATTAGTATCTTTACAAATAAATCTCTCTTCAAAACTTGAGACTGCCAGATTGGGAGCACTACTTACACCCTCTCTCCCATCACCAACAGTTTTCTTGTGAAGATCTGTGACAACATTCGAGGTTTCTGCTGAGCATGGTATGGATTTTTGAGCACATCCAGCACATGCACTGTTTGCCCTAGACAAATTTTCAGACATGCCAGAATGCAAAGTGCTAGCAGGATAACAACCAGGTGGATGATTTTCCAAGTTTTCCGTGCAGATGACTGCCTCGTGATTAGGAAGTGTCTGTTCAGGCATGGCAACAAATGGAGTTGTAGCATCATCACAAAGCTCAAAAGATTGAATTGACATTGAAGATGACACAGAATTACTGCTTTCTGCCTGCTTTCCTTTGCAGGCTCTGAATAGAGCTTTTTGAGACTCTTGCGATACCTCCTTGGAAAAATAAGGGCGACCATCAGGAACTTGATGAGTATTTTCAGGTTCTTGGTTTTTCGCAGTTGGACTCAACTTCATGATTCCATTTGGAACATCAGCTCCTGTTTGTCTTGTCCTTCCAGGAAATGAGGATCGCCTAGATAGATTAGGTGTTCTTTGCCTCGGCTTCATGGCAAGTCCATCATCAACATGTTTAATTGGACCAGGTGGAGGAGTCCCATCATGTCTGAGTTTAGTCTTCGGTGAGGCCTCAATTATAGGAAACTGCAAAAGTAATTTGGAAAGTAAATGATTAATTCAGCACATCTATCAAACTAGGGAAAAAGTATGGTCAGTTCTGATTATACCTGGTGTTTCAAAGGATGTGATCCCTGGATCCGCTTTGCAGAATCCAAGGCTGCTTTTGCTGGTGCAACAGTTGGTGTATCTGCATTGGACTTTAAACCAGATGCAAGGGCATTAGGTGTAGGAGTTTTTGGTGATGCTTCTATGTTACTTCTTTGTGTTGGTGCACTTCCAGACTTTGTATGATTTCCTCTGGACGAGGAACTATTTTCTCTAGGTTTTCCTTCTTTTAAGGCCATCATAATACCTTTGATAGTTTTTGGTTGCTTTGGTTCGACATTGCATCCATGTTCATTATGAGAAGGTTTCATCACCCTCTGCTCATTCATTTTGACAAAGCAAACATTGGGACTTTTTTCTTCTTGGCTTGGCATGGGCTGCTTGGTCCCATCTTCATCACCAACAGAAGCTAAATCTGTATCAGTGGCTTTATTGTCACAATTTGAGACCACTGCTGGGATATTCCGATCAATTGAAAGCAAACTATCCTTATCACTAGTAGAACTATTACTGTTTTGGCTTTCATCCATACTTCTTCGAGATTCATGACTTCTAGTAATAGGTTTCTCCGGAGAGCAGGATGTGGGAGGACTCAAGGATGGACGGTAGTGATCGACATATGTCTGCAAGTATGGGTGCTTCAAAATCTCGGATGCCTGACCAAAGGAAATGCAGATTGCTAAGATGGAGTCCTGTAATGACAAACTGTTGAAGTTGGCACATAAATTTTAAGAGTCTTACATTTGGACGATGCTCAGGATTCTTTCTCAGCATGCCTTTAATCAGTGTTTTCCTGCAGGCACAGACATTTAATATTAGGGCTAAGAAGTGACTCAAAGGTGGATCGCCATCAACATACCACAGGACAGAAACAAAACAAAAACAGCAAAGCTATCCATTTTCTTAGAGGTAAGGTGGTTAAATTGCCAGGACTCAAATGAGATCCATTAAATGATCTTCAAAAATCTAGTCTTCTGTTCATCATCAAGCCTTGAGCAGTACGAATTAAAAAAACAACACATAGAAAAGATGAAGCTACTTCTCAGTGCAAATTTATTCAATACGAAAATTTAGAATGAAGGTGTTCTCAGGTTGCCTGTGATGCATGTGAAATCAATCATCAGGTGTC